GACTCAAAAAATGCTATTAAATAAAACGACCATAAAAGTCCTCTAAATGACTCTGCAGCAGAACGTTCTCTGAAGCACCGAGGTTTTAAGTAAACACAAGTAATCGTCTCGTCCTTTAATCTAAAATCCAAAGTAAACTGTGTCTATATTTACTTTGTATGGTCGCCATTTCATCGAAAAGTATTAAAAAGTATTAAAGTATTCAAGCGCTATATTTCCATAGCACAACGGAGCCCCGGACACATCAATGTAATGACAATACACAGACACTAACAGCGAATGTATCACAATTATCGTTACGTGTACCACCGTCCTGTTAGCAGTTAGCGACTTGGCGTGTGGCTACTTACGTAACTCGCTAATTGGTTCGTAACGGGATAACGAACCACACATGCCCAGAGCGTTACGGTGACCGAGTGCGTGACGTAGGAGTGGCACACACACGAAATACTCACAGCTTAAGACTAGTCTTTAGACAGAAAAAATAAAAACACTCAACATATTGATCTTATTCATGAGTCAAAACTAGAAACAAAAACAATAATAATCACAACTTAAAAGTCAGCTGCAATTAAACAACGTTACAAACATTTCACTTCTTTCCACCAAGTCTAGGCTTCTTCAGTTAACCTCCTCTGTGGCCTAAAGGTCCTTGTTGATCTTCGCAGCTGAGGAGGTACATTCGGGTGGGGTAAAGCTTCCGGAGGGGAAGTTCTAGATCGTAGCTGAGGAGGGACATTCGGATGTTGTGAAGCTACTGCAGGGATTGCTCTAGGGCTAGGAAATACAGCTGGTGATCCATGGTTTTCTGGATTTTGTATTTGGAAATCTGAAGAAGACAGTAGCTGTGGTAATTGTTTAATGCAGGGGTCGTCTTCCTATTCCGATTCATTGTCTTGGTAGCATTTATGAATTTGACTTGTATGTCTTTTAGTGTGTCCATTAGAATCAATCAACTATGTGTTCCTACCTAACCGTCTAAGTATGGTTCCTATTTTCCATTTTACTTTCCCTTCAACAAAAGTATGAATGTACACTTTACTCCCAATGGAAAAGTCTCTGGATTTATTAAATCGCAGCACTTCAGAAGGTTTATCTCTTGAGTTTATCTCTTATGAAGGTTTGATAAAATCTAATTTAGTTCGCAGATTACGACCCAAGAACAAAAATGCAGGTGTTTGTCCAGTTGCAGTGTGAGGTGTAGCTCGATAGCGAAATAAAAATGTCCTCAAGTTGTCTGTGAACAAGCTAGGCTCTTTATTGTAATGTAATTTGTTCAGAGCTCTTTTAAAGGTATCTACATTTTTCTCCACTTGTCCATTAGAACTTGGGTGAGCTACTGGAGTCGTAATATGTTTGATATTATTGCGCAGGCAGAAATCTTTAAAACCTTGCGAAGTAAATGGAGTTCCGTTGTCTGAGACGATTGTTCTAGGTATGCCATATTTACACAACAAATTCTTGAGCGCTTCTATTGTCTTTTCTGTTATAATAGAGGACATAGGTACTATTTCTGGCCATTTCGAGAAAGCGTCAATCACTAAGAGAAACATTTGTTCGTAAAATGGTCCAGCAAAATCTAAATGGATTCGACTCCAAGGTTCACTTTCTTTAGGCCAGTTGACTAGATGTGTTTTACTTGGTAAATTTTTAGCAAACAAGTTACATTCACGGCAACTGTGACACGTCTGTTCAATTAGACCATCCATTCTTGGCCACCACACATGACCCCGAGCCTCAGACTTCATTCTGACCATGCCATTGTGAGATTCATGCAAGTAGTCCATGATGTAAGTTCGGTATTTAGGTGGAATAACAGTTCTTATTCCCCTCAGAAGACAGTTATTATGTAGAGTCAGTGCATCTTTCATAGAAAAGTAAGGCCTCAAGTTCTTATCTGGACACTTTTGTCAAACTTAGTCATAACGATCGCACAGTCTACTTTTAAGCTCGGTTACTGTGCAAACTATTTTATGCGATATCTTTGATCATGTCAGGTGGCTATTGGAGTTGTAACCGACGTGGAATTTTGTGAACAAAATTTTAGAATTTATCAAATAAATAGATTAAATCGGAATATATAAGCATAGATTAAAGGAGTAGACAATGTTCTGCTTTAATCTACGATAAGGTGTGATTAAGAACAGATAACACTTTTAGAGTAAATAGATAACCTTCAAACTAATAGACCTACTAAGATCCTCAAGTACCTCCTACTAAGTATATATCTCAAAATATGAAGTGCCTTTATAAGTAGATTTAATCATTAAAATCAGCTCTCTTAAGTGAAAAAAAACACTTATTTAAATTAACTGCATGGGCTTATTCTCATCAGAATCTCATTCAACAACACACACTTATAATCCTAATGACACTAATAGAAAATTATAGCAGTGGCTTTATTGTTAATGTATGCAAAATTGTTATTCTACGTATAAGGGGAGCATGTGATTACAGTCCTGACATTAGTTAATTTTTAGGTTAAATTCGTTGTTATTATTTGTTAAATGTCTTCAAGGAAACAAATTACAAAGACGATTACCAAGAAACAGTCAACTTTTTACAGAGCTCCAAACATAATTCACAAAACAAAAACCTCCGTATTTAATTGTATAATTAAAGTAAGGAATGACTCGAGAGTTGTACACATTAAGAATTAGACGAAATCGGGTATGGTTTATCCTTATGAAATGAATTTAGATTGAAGTGAGATGTCTTGTGTAGCTTTTTACCAGCATTATTCAGGTCCATACCAATTCCTTAATTTTGAAACCCAATGATCAAGGACTGCTAGGTCAAATTTGGAACTTTCAAAAATTTACTCAGTATCGACCAGTGACCTCCTGATTACCAGGCGAGCATTTCACTAAGCTACATGAAGTTGTGCAGTTCTTACTATCCTTCACGGTCATTGGTACTACCGTAGATCATGCATCATTGTAGTCATTATCATATATATGTCACTCTGATCAGTCAACGACCAATGCAGTCCTTATTCAGTGTGAAAGTGTACACTAGCCAGTATCCAGTCTCGTTTTCGCATCTTCTCGGATTTTCTCTCCCAAGATTCTTCTCTGCTTACTAAATTCTGCTTACTTTCCACCTCGAGTGAAGTACTTGATACTATTAGTTTTTATGTCAGCAGATGTCTGTGTATTTTTCATTTTAGATTACCTAGTTTATAAGGTTGATAAGTTAATAAGGGAACATGTGAATTGAGGATTGAAATCTAAATAATTATTCACCTTAAGGGTTAGGAAGCAAAGTATACTCGTTGGTAAATAAGATGGAAAGCTCAATTAGAAGTAAATAAAACATTCGAAAACCCCACAATTAAGGTTGTATTTACATATAGTTTGTTTGGTATGGTTAAGCTGTACACGTTCCAAACTCTTTGAAGCATGAGTTAAAATATTTACCGAAAATTGCGTCAATAAATCAAAGGCTTTTTCCATACGTGGTGACCTATTTTGAAAGAGGGTTCATCAACATTTAATAGGAATACTTTAAGTTTTATTTTACTAGACTTTTTTTATTTGTCAATATAGTAATTTTAATTAATTTATAACAATATTGGAAACTCATAAGCTTGGTAAAAGGAAACGACTTTTTATTTTATTACAATTTAACAAAAGGTAAATCGGCCATTTTCATTATTGATTATTTGTTTCTTTGGTTTAACTATTTAACACTCGTAAGACTTTAACACTAAGAGGTGTTGGCGTGTTTGATCTAACTACATCACGTATTTGTTTGATCACGTATTTTTACATCCATTTATCTAAACATCAATTTGCGTAACTTATGAGTCGTCTATGAAATTCATTTATCCATCTATTCACCTTTGAATCCATCTAATAATCTATGTACCGTATCTCTCTATGTACCGTATCTCTATGTAGCCTATCCATTTATCTATGTATCTATATTTACTGTTAACGACCGTAAATATAAAAAAAATGCCTAGGATGAAAAGTTTGTTGTTTTAAATTATTGGCCTACTTATGGAAACAACCCGCTAATTGGCAATACACATAGCAATACATTTATACAGGTTTGTACGGTGAGATTTAAGTTGATGGACTATATCATTCTCTTGGAACTGGAGATGTTTACCGTCTTTTAAGTAAACTATTGGGGATGGTTTTTTGCCTTGCAGTACAAAAATAGATCTTTGAAGTTTTAAGCGGTAAAACAATAAGTGTATGTGTACTAGTGAATATAACATTGATTGTGGTGCTTGAAGTGGAGTGGACTTCTTATCTACCGTATGGACCGCTTGTATAAAGCCAGTGTTCACTCAGAGTTTAACTAGCCTCTTGTAGAATGGGAATATGTTAAAGACCTTAGTTGTTCTTTCTATGCTAGTTGATCGGGATGTAAAATGCCATAGTTTACTCTTTCCAGATCGTACATACTCTCTCAGTAACTGACTAAACTGAGCTAAGTTCTTTTTCATTCTAAAGTGACACAACCTTTTGCATCTACGCCAGTGGTACTTAAATTTTAACACAAACACGGCATACTAATTTCACATTTAGCTAGGTCGATTTATTAATGGTATTGATATAGGCTAGTTCATTTATGCAACGGGCTAGTACACAGCGTTTGTTTTATTCATGCAGTTTATCATTATTCCGAAGATAGGTACACTAAATACTGCTACATATTACAAACAAAATTAGAAATAATTTCACCATAGAAAAATATAATACGAACAAATCCAAACTAGTGAAAAATAAACAATATACTCCGCCTCGTGGGAACAAGCATGAAATCATAAAACTTTTGTTACACACGTAAATAAAAATTTTGTATTTTAGATGGTAAATTCTTTCAGCACCCCTTATTTTTAAACAATAATGATTTCATAACTTATAATGATTTCAGTGAAAAAATTATAAGTTTTGTTGTAGACACTCAAAATAAAAATGAGAAAATCTATGATGAAAATACATTAACATTATTAGATTAGGTTTTAACTGTTGTTATTTACTTACAGAGCATAGTAACCTAGCCATGTTGGACACTTAACACATGACACCACCGACCACACTGAATCTGTAGACAGCTTTCTGTCTCTGCTTTCACTGCCCCCCCCCCCACATTGGACCCCTAGGGGGCTCACCACTTCACCTACAGTCTCTTCGGAATACCGGGGTTTGGTCAAATGGTCAAATATTCGTGAACCATATTTTAATCTGTTGATTCAAGACAACATTTGTGTTGAAGCTTCGTTAAGCTTATTTATTTACTTCAAGAATAATTTTAGATATAAACAATATAACATTTACAGTAATCAGCTGCTTCATATTCAACCAATATTAAATCTGTAAAGCATGATCGAAGTTGTTTTTTCCCATCACATCTGCCAAGTGCCATTTTTATAGCGAGATACCAAGTATATTAGAACTGAACCCGGTTTGGATCATAAACCTAAACAAATGACGTTACTGGTACGAATTATCTACTAATAACATCTGGGTTGGTCGTTTGTTGAGAGGTTCATTCAAATAATAATACGAACATGTTTACGCCACACTACTCTGTTTTAACGAACATCTCACGCTAGGATTTAGTAAAAAAAAAACAGCTTGCCTTCAGCTTAATCTAATGGGGTTTCATTACGTCATGTCTAGTTCATGTACACCACACTGGGCGCTAGTGTCGACGAAATTTTGTTTCTATTATTTTAGGGTTAATTTCTTGATTTGTGCTTTACTGTTTGGTTAAATAACTAGGGGACAACTTATTGTTTATGATTAGATCGTATTATTTGGTTAAACGAGGTTTTAAATGACTGTATTAACGGGAAACAAATTGTAAACAAAACACGACCTCTACACAAACCGTACAGAACTAACAATAAAATTTTCTTCAGCTGTTCCATTAGGATGAGAAATCTACTAAGGGAGTATGTTTGTATGTTTTATCTATGGTAATACCATTGACTATTGGATATAGTGCAGGAAAAAAGTGTAAAATTTAGCCTAATAGTGGAATTTTAATTTATCAGGCTGAAAATTGGTGGAGATGTCGTACATACAGCAGGGAACATCATACTAAAATTCCCAAAAAATCCCACTTGGGAAACATGCCGCCATCTTGGAAAATGGCCGCCATAATGGATTTCCCCCCTTGTGTCACATATTCAAGCATAAAACCACTCCTAATTGTGATAAAAACGTGCAGTTTCTTCAAAATTATTTGTCGGGATGTAATTAAAATATTTAGAGCCATTATATATAGTTTTGTATGGAAATTACAAATCTTTATGCTAAGAATTAAACAAAAATAATTGGAGGGTAATACTGGTCTTGCATTCAAAATTGATTTAAGACCTCTTTTACTCATCGGGGATAAAACTTCTCTGATTAAATCTCATAGAACAAGTCAAGGCACACAAGAATATGTAATTATATTTGTTTTTGGTCTATAAGTATGCCGTCATATTGATGTTGAACTTGCGATTGCAGCCTAAGTTTTAGACCACGTCGTGGTGGAGACTGTAATATAATGCTGTAAATGAAACGAGTTCTCATGCAGCATGCTGAAGTGAGGGGATATGTTTCCACATTAAAACCCTTTAGGAGATCAGACAAGATGCAGTCACATTTAGCCATGGGAAATGTGGTCGTTGTGCGGGGTGAAACTATTTCTATTAGCCAAAATTAGCTATTCTATCAAATTATGTGTCTTGTCCGTAATGATTAACAGTTGTAGACATGTTTTGAATACGAGTTGGCACCATTACCAACATCATTATTCAACGATGGGACCAATAGAAAACCCAACAATGCTGCGTTAAGGATCATGAGGGAGAAATTGTGTCCTTCTACGGATTGTCTTCCACTAGCTTTAAACCTTGTGATAGATGGTGGGCATCTTCTTCACATAGTAGTCTGGCAAAAACCGGCTATTTTCTCTGACATTTTTGTAAGGCGTACCAGACATACATTGTAAAACATTACGGAAATCAAGTCATTGTTGTTTTCGACTGATTCCAGGAAAGTACGATGAAGGATGTAGAACACGTTAGGCGAACGTTTAAAGCGACATCTGGCGAAGTTCTTGTTGGTTCTGATGTGCAAGAGGTATCCCAGCAGCATCCATTCTTAGCCAACGCAACCAACAAAACAAGGCTCATTGATCAGTTAGTAAGCCATCCAAACAGAAACTGAATACAAGCGGTCCATGCGAAAGCTGATGCAGACCGTCTAATTGTCCAAACAGCCATCCTACTAGCCAATGAAGAAAAAACTCTGCAATTGTTGGAAAGAACACTGAGGCATTCGTCCTTTTATTGACCCTTACTGACCCTGACAAAAATATCTTAATGCTCATTCCACTTTCAAAAGCTCATTAGCAAAAGATATTTTCATCCACAGCACTGCAAAATAGTATGGACAATGTCAACGAGCATCTTGTTTTCCTGCATTCTATGTCCGGTTATGATACCACGCCAGCAACCTACAGGAAAGGGAAGATACAATCATTCAATGTTCTGGAGAAATCACCAATTCTTTGCCAACCAGTGTAATTGTATGTGTTCAATCGGGCGGAATCCACACGGATGGAAATCGTCAAAGCTGGATAGGAATTTCTTGTAGCCCTATATATGGAGCAAAAAGCGGTCAGGGACTGAAAAGAACTCGATACAAACAGTACCTGAAAGTAATATCAAAACGTCTTGACTTTTAATTTGACCTTTCAACACTTCTACCAACTTCTGAAGCTGCTAGAGAGCAACCAGATTGTACTACCAGGGTCAAGAATGGCTAGGGGTTTCTCTTCCACCTACAGAGTGGGGATGGAAAAAGAACGAAATAGGTACATTTACTCCAATTCATACTTCAATGCCCCTTTACCTGACAACCTCCTCAACTTGATAAGATGTGCATGTAAGACTGGATGTAACAGGTATTGTGGGTGTCTGAAAATGGGTTATCTTGTTCACAATTGTGTATCTACTACACCAACGGCTGTGGTCACGGGATCATTGCCACATCAGTCCTAAATTAATGAAGAAGGGGACATTAATGTACCTGATTTACCAACCCAGTTCCGTTCTGACCGGGAAGTCAACACAACCGACATCCAAATGATTCCATTCCACTTTGCAGCAAGAGGAAAAAGTCACATCAAAGAAAATAGTTTTTATAACGCACAAACTTATCAATTGTCAAACAGAATATATTCAGTTTTTTTGGAGTTTATATAAAAAAGAAAAATATTATGTATCAAATAAAAGCAAGTTATAAAAGTAATACTAACACAACTGTTTATGTACTATTAGTAATTTAATTCCATTTACATAATTTTATTACAGTCACCACCATGATACAGTCTAAAACGTAGGCTGCAATCACAGGTCCAGCGTCAATATGACGTCCTAGTTTCACCCCGCACAACGACCACATTTCCCATGGCTAAATGTGACTGCATCTTGTCTGATCTCCTAAAGGGTTTTAATGTGGAAACATATCCCCTCACTTCAGCATGCTGCATGAGAACTCGTTTCATTTACAGCATTATATTACAGTCTCCACCACGACGTGGTCTAAAACTTAGGCTGCAATCGCAAGTTCAACATCAATATGACGGCATACTTATAGACCAAAAACAAATATAATTACATATTCTTGTGTGCCTTGACTTGTTCTATGAGATTTAATCAGAGAAGTTTTATCCCCGATGAGTAAAAGAGGTCTCAAATCAATTTTGAATGCAAGACCAGTATTACCCTCCAATTATTTTTGTTTAATTCTTAGCATAAAAATTTGTAATTTCCATACAAAACTATATATAATGGCTCTAAATATTTTAATTACATCCCAACAAATAATTTTGAAGAAACTGCACGTTTTTATCACAATTAGGAGTGGTTTTATGCTTGAATATGTGACACAAGGGGGGAAATCCATTATGGCGGCCATTTTCCAAGATGGCGGCATGTTTCCCAAGTGGGATTTTTTGGGAATTTTAGTATGATGTTCCCAGCTGTATGTACGACATCTCCACCAATTTTCAGCCTGATAAATTAAAATTCTGGAATCCAACACTATTTTCCTGCACTAATACTGAAGTTGAATGGAATGTCTACAGTAGTTGTATTAATAGTCAAAGTTACTACTGTACTGTAATGAGTTTATACCGGACACCAGCTGATTAATTTGGCAATGAGTGGATATAAACAAAAACATAACCTCTCAGAGGTTATGAGTAGTGATTGTTCTTTAGACGGTGGGAATATACGGCAAACCAGTAAGTATGTATATATTTATAATCCAAACTGCTTGTTCTAAGATCGATGCGAGGTAGGTCTACTAATAGAGACTACAACAAAAATACTTATAATAAAATATTATGATAGTAATGATTATTATCAAAAGTCTAATGATCAAGAAAAGCTGAGCCCTGTTTCAAACCGTCAAAATACTACTTTTTTCAGGATCGAACCCGTGACCTTCTGTCTGTTAGACGAGCAATATAAATATTCACTCCACTAAACCAGTTATAGTAACTGCAGTTTTACCATATGATCAGAGATATGTATGTAACTGCTACGGTATATTTACAGAACTAAGTTGTTCCATGGTCATCATCATATTTAAATGCACTTGTAAATCAACTGAATTACCATACATCATTAAACATGATCTTAACACACACTTGGTGAAGGAAATGTTGCATTTATTGTGGTAAACGGCTTTGGAGATCGCTTCATAACTACCTTTAATAATATCATTAAACTTTCGATTTCATCTTCTCCGGTCGACCCACATACTCGCTCCCACACACGTTCAGTTTTCTACTGTTGTTTCCAGTTAAGAGTGAATTTGTGGGAAGTGGATAATTAAGTTGAAGACGCCACAACAAACTATCGGACGGGGTAATTGATACACTGCAACTGCTACACTAACCTAGTGACTACATCCGTCAACATGTATCTAAACAACTTGCACCTTTCAAAGTCAATGTTATCCCTTGAATTAATATATTACGCTGTATAGTATTCTAGACAATACACACGGTTGAAGTTTCAGTTATTTTGAGGGTTTCATCG